GGTTTCCTTCTCACTTGGGAAGGCACAAAATCTCTTTTTGGATAAGCCAAATTCTCAGAAGACTATAAAACACAGCAGGTAAAGACAATTTATAAAAGTCAAAAGAATGGTTTCACTCTGGCTAACAGTGATTTTAAACATCCAAATGTATCATTCAAAATTTTGCTTGAGAAATGGTTTTAGTGATAAGAAAAAAAATAGATTATTTATTTTAAAATGCAATGAAGAGGGCACCTAATTTGATTTCTTTGAAAGCTTATAATTAGATAGCTGTAATAAAACACAAAGAAAGGAGGTCAACGTTCTCCACTCCAAATGTTTCCCCTACGCTTCAAGTATTCATACTCAGGAAGCCTGTACTTTGTCATTAAATTTTTAAGCTTGGAAAATTTCTGGCTTTAGCAAAAGCCAACAAAAGAATTTTTACAGGTGATTTTCAGTAGTGATTACACAAAAATAATTAATTCTGCAATTGGGAGAAAAGCATAGTGAAGGCCTCTTGTCAGGTTCTGAAAAAAGAAAGGAAAAGGAGTGAGTTCTAGATTAAGGAGCTGGAAAAGGGAGGGCACTGGGAACAAAATAACCTGCATATTCATCCACAAAGAAGAAAACGGAAAGCTCCCACAGACTTGATGAAGGCAGAGACATTACATACATTTGACTTTACTAATACTTGGCTAGACTGAACTCTGAACCCTTTGAGGCTTAAGGATCATTGCTGCTGAATTCATAAAAACCTATTCCAAAGCTCTGAAACTGCCACTGCTTTATTCTTGTTTTCTCCCATATCATTACATATTAATGTTCATGTCAGAGGTAAAATAATCTTTGCTCTAACACTTATGGGAAAGGGAAGCATTGGGTCATGCTTAATTGTTCTGCTACATTGTAGTTACACAAAGAGATAACTTTTTCACTTTAAAAAAGAAATAACAATTACATTTTTTTTTCCAAAAAAAAAAAAAAAAAGAAAAGAAAGAAAGAAAACAGCCACATATTTCTACAAATGACAATAAGGGGCATTGGCCAAGAATTCTCTTATGAAAAGTATGCAGTTTATATTTTGTAAATCCCAACAGAAGAATAATGGCTGGTTTCGGTTAATTTTTATCTATCTGAAGGATATAGAAACAAAGTCCTCCAAATTTTCTTCTTAAATAATATTTAAGTAAATACAACAGAATGAATTTCAGAAATTCCAGGGAAAGGCTATTGAATCTTACTTAGCTTTTCTGGCTACCAGGCCGATTCAATGATTCCTAATATAAAGTTCATTTGCCTATAAAATACACTTCCAGAGGATTCTCTCTTACCTCTATCCATCAATGAAAAGACTTGATCATCAATCATTTAATTTACATTCAGAAGAGTATATAATATATATGTGCATGTGTGTATACATTTTTGAATGTAATTCTTTTGTTATAACTACTTTTTAAAAAGTTTTTATTTATTTTTTTGAGGGGACGGAGGGGCAGACAGAGAGTGAGACACAGAACCGGAAGCAGGCTTCAGGCTCTGAGCTGTCAGCACAGAGCCCCACATGGGGCTCACCCGAACCCATGAACCACGAGATCGTGACCTGAGCTGAAGTCAAACATTTAACTGACTGAGCCACCCAGGCGCCCCTATAAATGTAATTCTTAAGAAATACATTTTCCCTTACCAATACTATCATTAAATGAGCAAACACATAATTGTTATAAATGCACTTAGTACAAATTTTAGCAGTCTTGACTCTGAAATATCATAATCACTAAAATCCAGGTTGCTCTGCTTGGACTAGTCATCGGTCTATTCCCTATGAAGGGGAAACACATTTCTGCTCCTAGGGAGAGTGGTGGAAAGCTAATGAAACCAGTGTGTAAGACTGAGAGAAACCATGGAGGGAAGCATTGCCCAATTTCTCCTTGCAGAAAGTTGCAAAAACATGGGGAAGGAAGAATCATTTCACCATTTGTTTCAGACTGTGGGTACCTTGCAGGCAACATCATGTCTGACAGCAAGAACAAGCAACACTCCCAAACCCAGTACTCAGCTTTATGTTATTCTAAAGTTATATCAAAATGAACGGCACATCTCTGGCATATTTCTCAATGCTCTACTGTTGATTATAGTTACAGTTCTGTCTGCATAAGCAACAAACCATGTAGCAAAATGGAGTAACAGTATTAACATTCCTGTTCTGCATAAAAAAAAAAAAAAACCACTTCTCTCAACTACCCAACTAAATAAAGGAATTCATTCTGCTATTCTGAGAAAAAGCAAGATTGAGAGTTGAGAAGAGAGTTTACTGTTTTTAAAAGTAATTCGTGGGGCCCCTGGGTGGCGCAGTCGGTTAAGCGTCCGACTTCAGCCAGGTCACGATCTCGCGGTCTGTGAGTTCGAGCCCCGCGTCGGGCTCTGGGCTAATGGCTCAGAGCCTGGAGCCTGTTTCCGATTCTGTGTCTCCCTCTCTCTCTGCCCCTCCCCCGTTCATGCTCTGTCTCTCTCTGTCCCAAAAATAAATAAACGTTTAAAAAAAAAAAAAAGTAATTCGTGGAATAAAGAGGCAAGAGCAATGCCAGGTGTTTGAAAGGGATGTCAGGTAAATGTGCTTGGAATCTGATGATCAGTTTTGTGCTTCTATGGGTCCTGAAAGTATCATGAGTTCTTTCCTGGTAATGACAGAATTGTATTAAAAAATAAAATTAGAGCACAAATTCCTTTTTGTGATCTTTTATTGAAAGGTAAATACGTAGTCCTCAGAAACAAAACACACTTAGGCCATTTAGCAAAATTTGGGGCTTTGGGGAAAATAATGGCAATTCAATGACATACCAAACTTTTAAAAAGGTGAATGAAAATATAAAGAGTAATAATAGTATAAGCAAGTCAGAGAATGTGATATAAACTCAGGGATGTACTAGTCAAACTAGTGGCTTCAGTTAAGATTGTGAAAAGAGTATTATAAAGAGAAAAAAGAAGAAAACAATATATATAACGTAACAATACAAATATGTAACATACTACATTACATATAACATGTGTAATGATTCTTGTTATAAATAACATATATATGTAATAGTGAATATATAAAAATATATTCATTTATTTCATCATTAGTAGGGGACTTGAATTTATTTTGTTTACTTACATTCAGGTTTTTTCCACTAGAAATGCATACAAAATTATAAAGAAAATATTTGAGGCAAGAAAGGTAAGAAATACGGATAGTAAAATAATGTCAGGGGTATACTCACCCTGAAGGGATTCATACGATTCAGTGCTGAAAAGCCTCTGCAAGTGGGTTAAGATTTTGGAATAAGCTTTCAAGGAGCCAAAGTAAAGAGGAACGTAGAATTATTTCTAAGATTCATAATATCAATGATTTTTTAAAAATCTAATGTTCAAAAGAACCTACAAAAAGACTAGATATGCCTGAGGCAGTTCTGGGTAAAGGCTAACGTTTCAAAAAAAAGTATCAAAATATTCTGCATCATTTAGAAAATGTCCTCTCATTTCTTTAAAAATTTTTTTTCAACGTTTTTTATTTATTTTTGGGACAGAGAGAGACAGAGCATGAACGGGGGAAGGGCAGAGAGAGAGGGAGACACAGAATCGGAAACAGGCTCCAGGCTCCGAGCCATCAGCCCAGAGCCCAACGCGGGGCTCGAACTCACGGACCGCGAGATCGTGACCTGGCTGAAGTCGGACGCTTAACCGACTGCGCCACCCAGGCGCCCCTGTCCTCTCATTTCTTAATACCACTATGGACTTAACCCATGAGAAACTGGCCATTCAAGAAATTTAAAAATTAAAACTATATTATACATGATTAATAACAGTATAATAATAAAATAGATTTAGTTACATCGGAATTTTGCTAAATTTTAATGTTTCATATACAAAATCAATCAGTTACAGATACTGGAAATATGTTTCAGATGCTCAGACTGTCATCATCATATGTGAGTGTGTGTATATGGGTGCATCCACTGTCCTAGTGTTGGGAATGGGGTTCAACATTCCCAAATCAAACAAAAACATTCCCAAATGAACAAAAAGATTTCTAAATCTTTTCTGTAAAATGGAAATTACGATATCTGCCTCCAAGGATTTTATAAAGGTTACATTTCATAATGTCTGCAAAGATGCTTTTAGTTATTCAACAAACATTTACTAACCCTTACTATGCCCCTAACGATATGGATACAAAGATGGATAAGCCAAGCCTCTTCCCAAAGGGGATTCACAATCTTGTCAACTTTAACATCCTCCACAGAAATAAGACAGGGTTATTTAGAATAGAAAAGAATTTCCTAACATACATTTCTCAGAAAACTAGCACTCTGGGGCTTTAATAGTTGGCATATGCAAGAAAGAAATGTATGGTTCAATAAGTTCATGCTAAATCAAATTTTTTCTTAATAAAAAAATTGACATAAAACACATAGGATAGCACCTGGTACACAGTAAGCAATTAAATGTTAATTAATATTATTTAGGCTCTAGCACAGAACTTGGCACATAAAAAAACACCTGTGGTAGGCTGAAAAATGGCCCCCAAAGATAACAATTCTTATTCCATGGAACCTATAAATGTAGGTTTTTTTACATTTATACATTTACATTTTTACATTTTTTTTACATTTAGGTTCTTTTTTTATGTTTAATTTTTAAATGTTTATTCATTTTTGACAGAGAGAGAGAGAGAGAGAGAGAGACAGCAAGAGTGAGGGAGGGGGAAAGAGAGAAAGGTAGACTTCAGGCTCTGAGCTGTCAGCACAGAGCCCCACGCGGGGCTTGAACCCACAAACCTGGAGATCATGACCAGAGCCGAAGTCGGAGGCTTAAGGGACTGAGCCATCCAGGCACCCCTAAATGTTTATTTATTTTTTTGGGGGGGAGGGGAGGGGACAGAGAGAGATGGGGGACAGAGGATCTGAAGCGGGATCTGTGCTGACAGTAGGGAGCCCCATGAGGGCCCCAACCCACAAACCGTGAGATCATGACCTGAGCTGAAGCCCCCTGTTTAACTGACTCAGACACCCAGGTGCCCCTATAAACGTAACCTTATATGGAAAAAAGGGTCTTTGCAGGGGGAGGTTCTCCCGGATTATCTGATGAGGCTCTTCAAACAATACCTAGTGTTCTTCTAAGAATGGCAGATGGAGAAGTGACACAGAGGGTGAGGACAGGTGGAGACAGCAGTGATTTGGCCACAAGCCAAGGAATGCTGGTAGCCACCAGAAGCTGAAAACAGGAAGAATGGATTCCTTCCTAGAGCCTTCAGGAAGGCTCTAGAGCCTTGACTTCGGCCCAACGAAACTGATTTTGGATGTCTGTCTTCCACAGTCATGAGAGAGATTAAATATTTGTGGGGTGTTTGTTGATTTGTCCTTTCTTTTGGAAATAACAGACACGTTTAACTGTGCCTGGTTAGAGATTTGTTTCCTTTTGGGAATTTTAAAAGGAAAGGAGGCAAATTTCTCTTCTACAAAAAGTAAACTGACTTGCCTTTCTGCTGTAGGTGGCTCCAGAAGTTAGTTTTGGGGGTATTGCTCTGTAATTGGTCAGGGTTGCCATAGGAAGAGTTTAAAGACAGAACAAGTCTGACTTGGCCCCTCAGCCCCCAGAGGTCAGGAAGCTGAGGGAGCAGCGTGCGCTGCCGGGTCGCCCCTGTGGCAACACCCTGTGACCCTCAGAGCAATGCGAGCGGTCCGCCGGGGAGAGCGCCCGAGCCGGCCTCGCTCGCTCCTCCCCCGGACGTCGAGGGTACAAAGTGGGAGCAGGAGAGGAAGCGACGCTGGCGGCGGGAGGCTGTGTGTCCCGAGGCGCGAGTGTGTGGGGGGCGAGCTCAGAAGCCGAGAGCGGCTGACGAGACGCTGCCAGCCGACTGTCAGGGCGGCGGACTCGACGCCCCGGAACGGCTTCCGGCGGAAAGGACTCTCCGTTAGGCCGGGATCCGATCCTACCGGAAGAGTTTTACCCGTTCTTGCTTGCTGGCTGTGGTGCTGAGGAAAAACTATGAATGGATGGAGTGTGCTTCTTTTTTTCTAGAAGATTCCATGAAGCTTCCCAGCAACTCTTTCATTTCCTCCTCGTTACTGTCTGGAACATCCAGTTTTCTAGTAGGTTCTTTGGGGGTATTGTAAACTTCCTCTTTCCAGAATGTGCCTCTCTGTTCTTGAGAACCCTCCTGCCCCACCCGCTCTCGGCGAGACGAGTTTCCCGGGCTTGTCTCTGGGGGGTTTGTCTGTGTTGTGTGAAGGAAGTGCCTCTGTACTCCCGGGTGGGTCTGCTTGCCGTCTTGCAAAACCATCCATCAGAGGTCAGGTTCCACCTCCGGTTTCCTGCTGCTGATTTCCCTCCGAGCCTGCTTCGTGGGCGCGGGGTTGGCCCTGGGCTTCCAGGCGGCGGTGGCCCACTCCCCACATGGGCCTTTAATTTCGGGACTGTTTTCCACCCTGAGTTTGGTTTCTTTTTAGAAACCTGCTATGACTGGGTGCTATTTTGGAAAGACTTCGACTGAAATTCAAGTTTCTGAATTCTTCCATTTTTGCATTTTCTAAGGAAATATCACTGAAACCACCAAAAATATTGCACGTGGGATGGCTGGTTTTTCTTGTTCAGGCCATTCTGCCAACGGGCTAACTTTTAGCTGGAAGGACGTGGTGAAGGGGAAGTAGAGCGCGCTGGAATGTCGACACCTATCTTTGTTCATGCTGGCAGCTGATGCCAGGAGAGGGCTCAGCCCAGGCCATTCAGTGGGTGACAGGGAAAGCCTGACTAGGAGGCCAGGTATTCTGGCATCTTTGTTTTTAAGCTACTAAATTTGTGATAATTTGTTATAGTACCAGTAGGAAATGAATCCAAAGCCTAATAAATGTTATTAAACTAACCATTATACATGTGGCACCAAGGAATGTGATTTATAAAGGTAACAAGCTAAGTGCAATTATGATGATGTTACTGGATAAGACAAAATTTTAATTTGTGAAAGGGACAAAAAAGGAAAACTTTAAAGAATGTAACCATATCTAAAGCCTGAATTAGAATAAATTCCAAAAAAGGTATGGCTTTTTTAGAATAAACAATCATTCCCCCCCCCAACATTTTATTACAGAAATTTGCAAACATACAAAAAGTTGAAAGAATTGTTCAGTGAAAACCCATTATCCACCATCTAAATTCTATAATTAACATTTTCTACATGTGCTTTATGTCACATGTATCCATCCATCTATTTCTCTATCCATCCAGGTATCTATCATCAATTTAACTTATTTTTTGGTGCATCTTAAAGTAACTGCAAACATTTCACTCCTAGCCACTTCAGCATATACATCATTAACTAGAGTTCAATGTTCTTTTTTTTTTAAAGTAAGATTTACCTACTGTGAAATGCATAAATCTTAAATGCAATCAGTTTTGACAAAAGCACACATCTGTCTACCTTGAACTGCTATCAAGATTATTTGTAGCACCCCACCAACTTCCCACATGCCCCCTTTTAGTCAGTCATTGCTCATATCCACCCAAAAAGGCAACTACAGTTGTAGATGTTTTGTTATTTTATTTAACCACAGCTTAGTTTTGATTGTTCTAAACCTTCATAAAAATAGAACATACAGTATGTACTCTTTTGTGTAAGGCCTTTTTTTTTTTTTTTACATAGCATAAAGGTTTGAGATTCATTTATGCTGTTTCATATTTCAGTAGTTCTTCCTGATTGTAACTTACAATTGACAAGAGGTATTCCATTATATTAATATACCAAGTTTCTTTATCCATTCTTCTCTGGAAAGGCATGTGAACTGTTTGCAGACTGGGGGCAACTGCGAATAATAGTGCTTCTAGGAACATTGCTGTATAATCTTTTTGTAGATATATGCTTTCATTTCTCATAGGTAAAAACCTAGGATTGGAATTGCTGCGTCATAGAGTATTAGCAGTATGTATTTAGTAGATGATTAGTTTTAGAAGAAACTGACAAATCTCCTTCCAAAGTTGTAATACCATTTTACATTGCCACAAACACTTTTGAGAGTTGTAGTTGCTTCCTGTCCTCACCTGTTGATGTTATCAGACATCTAGACATTCTGGTGAGTATGTAATGAAGACTAAACATTAAAAAACATAAATGTTCTATCATGATAATAATTAAATTTTTTATATCTGTTTTTTGAGTTTATTTATTTTAGCAATCTCTACATCCAGTGTGGGGCTTAAGCTCCCAACCCGAAGATCAAGAGTCAGATGCTCTTCCAACTGAGCCAGCCAGATGCCCCTACTTTTTTTATCTTTTAAGAAAATATTTACACAATGACAAACTATATTTGGAAATGGATCAATATTTTAAACTTTATCTTTGTATTTCCATAATTTTTTAATGCACACAACAGTAAAAGTACATATATATGATATGGATTTGCTCATTATACAGACAAAGCTTGGTATAGACTCTTTGTAATAGCTTTTTGGCCCAGATGCAACATTCCATCTGCTAGGTCTTTGGGACATCTTCATGGCTAATTCCATTTCTTTTATCATCTTTATCCCAAGCAGTGTAACTAACAGTAATCAGATAATTTTAGGAAAGAAGTCTTAGTCATCTCATATAGCCCTCAATGTTACCTTATATGTTGCTTTCCACATTATCTCTCGTAAGTTGAACTAGAAGTTAGAAACTAATTTAAAATCAGCTCCAAACTATGATCTCCTCTATAACCACCAAGCTTTTCATCATTTAAGGTTTATAACCTAAATCAGTATTTGGTGGAAGACATTATAGAATGTTGTGACTTACAAAGTAGGCTGCTTATTCTATTACCAAGAACATTGTAAAAAAATATATAGCCAGAAACTAGATTAGGACTTTGGCCTTCGTCAGCAAATAGTAAAAGTTGGATACCATGGATCTCTCAGAATTTTCTTCAATTACTGGGGATAAAAACAAATGATTTTCCTTTCTTTTACTATTTATAATTATTTAAGCAAAATGGCCAATTTTAAGAAACTTGCAGTCCACTGATTTTCATAGCTACATACAATATATATAAAATAAAAATCTTAACTGAAACATACAGAAAATTTCAAGTGAACATTAAGATGCTTAGTACTGCTGAAGAGATAAAGTCAATGTTTTTCTATAATCATATGTGAACACAGAAAAAGAAAAGATCAAAGAAAATTTAACCTGACAGTTTATCTTTTTCCACTCCATTGTAAATTTTATTTATGTCTTACATACAATGATTCACCTCTGATCTAGATGATTTGGGTAAAGCAACTAAACATCAGGTATTTAAAGAATTCTGTAAACATGGCTTCCAAATAGGATCAAGGAGAGAAATAGTCATGAATCTTTTAAAGTATTCGATTAAGGCTCGAGACATATAAAAGTTCGTAGTAAGCCATACTAAGATGTGCCAAGCACATATTTGAGGATTTCGGCTATATCTGAAAGAGCCTTCTGATACATAATATAAAGATAACTTGAAGATATTAATAACTTTAAGCATATTACTAAAAACCTTACATGATCAAAGTCTGGTATTCAGTGAGGGAAAAAGATACCTTTATTTCACAATTATGTAAAACTACAGTAAGAATTCTATGAACTACTGTATTATTTTTCATAATATCAATATTTAAAAATGGAAACCACTAAGAAATAATTGCAAAGTTATTAACTGTGTGGAAGCTTTTAAAAGTCATTTTATACTTCTACATTATTCAATTATCCCATATAACTTTCAAAACATTCAGTCTAATTCTTTTTAAAGTGAACTTTAAACACTGATTAGAATCAATGTCTATAAATCCCTGCAAGGAAAAATAAATGCATGTTTACTGCAAAAATTAATACAGAGCTGAAATCTTTAAGTTTGGAAATCTCTCTTAACAGATAGTACAACCAATATCAAACATTAATTATAAAGAGGCATTCAGAATTATTTGGGGGAGAAAGAAGTCTTAATGGGCATCGGGCTGTGTATTCATATATTAGTACAGGGCCATATTTGTTATTGAGCCTAACTTCTTTTTTTTTTTTTTTTAATGTTTGTTTATTTTTGAGAGAAAAAGAGAGAGAAAGAGGAGCTCAAGTGCAGGGGAGGAGTATAAAGAGAAAAGGGAGACACAGAAGCTGAATCAGGCTCCAGGCTCCGAGCTGTCAGCACAGAGCCCGACACAGAGCTCAAACTCACCAACTGTGAGATCATGACCTGAGCCGAAGTCAGCCAAAGTCGGATGCTTAACCAGACTGAGTCACCCTTATTGACCCCAGCTTATAACACCCATACCCAGTCACCCTGAGTCTGGTCTTCAGCCAAACACCTAGCCCCTCTATTCTTGGAATCTTAAATTTTATTGCCTTATCCAGGCCAGATAAAGATGAGCAGAAGCCATGAAGTCCTCGACAAACAAAAAACACCACGTGGTTTCTCTCTCACCTGTAATTGCATAACAATTAAAAAATCCACTAAACTGTACAATTTATAAAAGGAAGATCAAAGTTGTTTTCTTTTTTCCCCCCAGATTGTTTATGTTGTCCCCGTGGTGCTGATACACTAAGCATGCACTTGGTCTGCTTAACAATAATCTAGTAGAATGCCTGATCTTATAACGACTGCTACTTCACTGGGAACACTCTATCCCCCCATTTTATGGACTACAATGATTCTGCCACTTTTTTTTTGTTCAAATTTTGTTCACCACCTATTTCTTTCAATGTAGATTGAAAACTAAGAATGCCTTCTGGCACATATATTCTGCATTAACTGTCTGACTTGGTGCACTGAACACATTTATTACCTAGATGTTTTCTCAAAACACTATGCCTTTTAATATATTTAGATCTTACCAGAGCCATAGATATAGAGTCCAGCCACATTTTATATGGCTGAGTCTGTGTCTTAAACAAACATTTTAATATGAATGCTTTTAGATCAGACATGTGCTCTTTAGTTGTAACAGTCCCCACCATTCCCTAATGAATACATTTGATCTACTTTACTCGTGTACATTCTTTGTCTGGCTTTTATGGCCATTTAGGTTTGCAACTCCTGAAAATACCATGTATATTCATCCACATTGGTTTAAAACCCTTAATTCAGACCCAAGTTCT